TGCCTGTCCGCAGGAGGAGCTGGAGGTGGGCCTGCGCTTCTGCGGGCTGGCGGTGATGGTGAACCCGCTGCGGCGCGACACCACCGCCGTGGTGGCGCAGCTGCACGACGCCGGCATCCGCACCGTGATGGTGACGGGCGACCACGCCGCCACCGCCGCCAGCGTGGCGCGCCTGTGCGGCATGCTGTGCGCCAACCGGGCCGTGGCCACCGCCGACACGGCGTGCGGGGAGGGGCGGGTGCAGGACAGCGAGCTCGCGCTGCGCGGGACGGCGCCCGACGGCGCGCCGCTGCCCGGCGGCACGGAGGAGCTGCTGGCGGGGGTGGCGGCGGGGTCGCTGGCGGCGGCCGTCACGGGGCGCGGCTTTGAGAAGGTGGGGGCACCCGCTGGCATGCACGCGGCCTTGGGCTGGCCCCACCCACCATCCCTGTGCAGCCCAGCCTACGCAACCACCCAGCCTGTGCTTGCTCCCACCGGCCTGCCTCCCCTGCCCCATCCTCCCCTGCCCCCTCCTCCCACCGGTTGCACACAACAGCTGCAAGAGGTTGGGCTGCTGGAGCCCTTCCTGCGCCACGCGGGCGTGTTTGCGCGCATGTCCCCCGACGACAAGCGCGCGCTCATGGAGCTGCTGGGCGACGGCGCCCTGGGCGAGGACGGCGGCGAGGTGGCGGGGCTGGGCCACCACGTCGGCTTCTGCGGCGACGGCGCCAACGACGTGGGCGCGCTCAAGGCGGCGCACGTGGGCGTGTCACTGTGCGAGGCGGAGGCGTCGGTGGCGGCGCCGCTGACCTCCAAGCGCCAGACCATCGCCTGCATGCCCGCGGTCATCGCCGAGGGGCGCTGCTCCCTGGTCACCTCCTACATCATCTTCAAGTTCGTCATCGTCTACGCCTTCATACAGGTGGGGTGGTGGGGGGCGCTGTGATGGCGTGCAGCCCACCACAGCCACAACGGAAGCCCTGCCAGCCCACCCCTGCCAGCCCCCAACCCCCGCAGACCTTTGGCGTGGCCATCCTGTACAGCTACGGCGGGTCGGTGGGCAACTACCAGTACCTGGTGCAGGCGCGTGGCAGGGGGCGCGCGCGCTGCTGCTGCCGCCCACCGCCTCGGCATCTGTGCGCCGGCGCCGGCTGGCCGCTGGGGTGCACGCCCCGCGCGCCGCCCCTCCCCGATTCCCGCACGGTGCCCAGGGTGCCGGCTGAGCGGGCGGCAGCCTGCCCCAGCC